CGCCTATAATCCCAAGCACAGAAGGCATGATGACAGAAGTAGCCTTTGTCAACCGGAATTAACCACTGACAAATGGGTACAGCTAAGTTCTTCGCTATTCAAAGCACTTAGACACACACACACACAAGGCCTATTACTAAACAGGTTACCACTAGCATTAGATACCACCATCAAGAAACCAAAATGTTGACTTTCCAGATAAGTAACAAGTCTTTTCATATATGGCATACAGACCAGTGGATGATGGAACCACTGAATGACAATGAAATAAACCCCAGTTACTTTAGCTTAAAAGAATAAGGCTTTTTTTTAAAATAAAAGATGGGGATTTTTTAAAAGATTTTATTTATTTATTAGACAGAGACATAGCAAGAGAGGGAACACAAGCAGGGGGAGTGGGAGAAGGAGAAGCAGGCTGCCTGCTGAGCAGGGAGCCCGATGTGGGGCTCGATCCCAGGATCACAACCTGAGCCAAAGGTAGATGCTTAACGACTGAGCCACCCAGGCGCCCCAAAAGATAGGGATTTTTAACTGATTAGACTGAAGAGCAGGAAAAGACAGTAAGATTATATAAATCAACCCCAGGTTTGGAACAATAATGCCACTGAAGGTGGTATGTATATCTAAATTGTCCTTATAATTTCTGAACCTAGTAATTTTAAAGCAAATTATTGTTTGGCTTTATCTCCCCTTTTTGTTGTTGTTGATTTTTGGTAACAAACGCCCAAAATCACTTTATACCTCTCATCTCACTTTAACAAGCTCCACCTGACTGCCTTTTCCCAGTCTCTCTTCACAACTGAATTTTGAAAAGTTTATATCATTCTCTCTAGTTTTGACATCAGCAATGTCAGGCCAATATCATCTGAATGTCTTCTGAACCATAATCAGGATGCATCATGAAACAGAACTGTTTAACCCTGCACTATTAGCCTTTCTACATACGTGCAGTCTATACTTGTGGGGCCCCATCCACTTCTCTCCCACACTGCTTGCCGGGCCACTTGCCAGGCCATTTCTACTTTGTACAGTGGAGTATAATCTCAAATGCAACACATTTAATCTTTGTGAACTTGTCCAGCTTCTCTAGACAGTTTGAGAATATAGATTTTCAATTCTGTCAGTCTAATTTTATAAATCAGAATACTGGAGTCTAGAAAGGCAGTCTGGCTGGCCTTCCATTACAACTGAGTAAGGCGTGAGCTCCCTCCTGAAAGCATCTGCCTTCTCTACTATGTCTCCGCTGTTGGACCATCTTGATATAAATGTAAAAAAAAGCTTGGGTTAATTTGTAACAATACTTTGGATAAATTAAAAACCTAACTGAATTTTTTGAGCATAAGTGAAAAACTGGATCAATGGGTCAGAATACAGAGTCGGGATACAGTAAGAACAGGTAACACTTGTATTCCTCCACTAAGTACCAAGCACTGTTTTATAAAAGATACAAAGAAATCTAAATAAGCATGGTTTGGAAAGATCTGCATTAAATACCCACGAGGAGAAGGGGAGCTGGATGCAGGAAACAGGTGGAAAGATCAAGAGTCTACTATGCACTGATAACATCAACTGTACCCTACAACAAGGCTAATTTTTGTGCCACAGGTCCTTAAAGGGGAAAAAAACAGCTGAAGCTTACCATATGCTCATTCTCTACAGCATATGAGCCATATTTCATGTCTCCTCGGCCCCCAGGTGTGGCTGTCAAAGGTGTGCTTCTCACTTCCCGATGGAGTTTGGCAAGGTCCTTCCGGTATGTCCGAAGCTTAGACATCATAGGATTACGGAAAGATAGAGGTGCATAACGTAGTTCCTCTTCCATCTCTGCCAGCTAGGAAGGCAGAAAGTAGTGAGTAGCTGGGCTGGGGTTTTTTTCTCTCTCATCTGGGCACATGCTTAGTTTGGACTAATCAAACCGCAGACAACTGCAAGTAAGTACTCAAGCATATGTTCCACGAAGGCAGGGATCACATGTGACATGCTGACCTCGTTTCTCTGAGTGCCCGGCACAGCGCCTAACATACAGAGAACAGGCATTCAAAAAGTATATGATGAGTGAGTGAAAAAACTAACAAGCACCTTATTTCCTATTTAACATTTTTATATACATTATCTTATTTAATCCTCATTTAATCTTTCCTGTCCTCAATAAGGTAGGAGATACTACTTCTATTTCATATATAAGAATTGAAGAAATCTGCTCAAGATTACAAATCTTCAAATTCCCTTTTCAGTATACCAAATTTTTTGTTTGTTATGGTTCAAGTGCTATCATGAAGCACTCTGAAGTCTACTATACTAAAAATGATAGGGGTCTGGCATCAAGGTTCTTCCTTCCTCTTCTTTCTGAAAATCAGTCATCTGTCTCCATGTCCTAGATGACCAGGGTTCCAAACCGGATTTCCATTTTATTGGGTAAGTAAAATGTAATACCCAGACATGTTGACAAGACACCATGAATTATTTTTATCCGCCTGGGATGGCCAGAGTTGGATTGGTTAATTTTGCTAATGTCTTTGTAGAGGTCTTTTAAAACAGAAGGGAATGTGGCTACAACCACTTATGAGGTACATTTTTTGTGATTTAGTAAGTTTAAAAGAAGAATAACTGATTTTAATGGCCAGCTTTTTATTTTTGAGAGAGAGAGAATGCAGGGGAAGGGCAGAGGGCGAGAGAGAATCCCAAGCAGGCTCCATGCCCAGCACGAGCCAACTGGGACTCGATCCCATGACCCTGAGATCATGACCTGAGCTGAAATCAAGAGGTGGGGACACCCAACTGACTAAGCCACCCAGGCACCCCAATGGCCAGCTTTTTAAATGAAATTTTATTTATTTATTTTTTTTAAAGATTTTATTTATTTGACAGAGAGAGAGACAGAGAGCACAAGTGGGGGAAGGGGCAGAGGGAGAAGCAGACTCCCTGCTGAGCAGGGAGCCTGGCACAGGGCTCGATTACAGGACCCTGAGATTATGACCTGAGCCAAAGGCTGATACTTAACTGCTTGAGCCACCCAGGTGCCCCAAATTTTATTTTTTTTTAAGATTTATTTATTCATTTTAGAGAGCATGCGTTGGGGGGGGGCAGACGGAGAAAATCTTCAGACAGACTCCCCCCTGAGTGTGAGCCTGATGCAGCCCAATCTCATGACCCAGGAGATCATGAACCCAGCTAACACCAAGACTTGGATCTTAACCAACTGAGCCACCCAGGTGCCCCTAAATGAAATTTTAAAAGACCACCCAGGTAAAGGTTTGAGAATGCCCTTACTACTCATATCAGGAATGTATTATATCAAAGACTCATTTTAAGACAGTATCCAAGCTTTACCCATTTGTGTTTGTCAAACTCCCTCATCACTCACCCCATCAATTAGCTTATTTTGTAAGAAATAATCGAAATCAAGATCAATAGACAGGAACAGTTAATCTCTGATCAGGTAATAAGCATTACTTCTGGAAAAGACTAACTCCAGGTAGAAGAAGTAAGGATTTGCTCCCTGTTCTCACCGTTTCATTTGCTTCCTGTTGCTTTTCATCAAAATCTCTGATCAGCTTCTTCTTCTCTTCTGGAAAAGATAGACAAGTTTCAAGTGCTCAGTCCTGTTTTCATATATTTGTAGAGGTCATTCCCTCTGCTTAGAATAAACTGCCCAACCTTCCCCTGATGGGGCTAGTAGTACTTAATCATCTCTAAAAAGTCCTTTTTAAATTTTTTTACTTTTTTTTGAGAGAGAGCTAGCACGCATACATGCCAGCTGGTGGGGTTGGGGAGGAGGATGGAGAGAGAGAGAGAGAGAGAGAGACTCTTAAGCTGGCTCCACACCCAGCACAAGCACGATGTGGGATGGGGCTGGGTCTCTCAATCCTGAGGATCATGAGCTAAAATCAAGGAGTCGAATGCTTAACTGACTGAGCCACCCAGGCACCCCTAAAAAGCATTTAGAAATGTACTGGAACTTGTTATCACAAAGATGGGGGAGGGGAGAGGGTGGATATTATGAATGGCATTTAGTGCCCAGGGAACAAAAATACCCATATTTGGGACACTCCCGCATGACGATTATCTGGCCCCAAAGGTCAGTATTATCCTACTAAGAAACACTACAGGTCTAAGTTAATCACTGTCAATTGATTTTCCCCTAGAGGGATCAGGCATGCCTTCATCAACAAGAATGTTTAGCAATACTGATTCTTTGAAATCCCTGTCCCACTTTCACCTCCACTGTAAAACAGTTCTCTATATTAACCCTTATCCACTGCTTTTCTGCAAAACAAATTCAAAACTCACCTACTCTGCTTGCTGGGGAGAGTGCATGGTATGGTACATATTTCTTGGCCATACCCACTGGTGGTAATATGTAAAATGATGCAAATACCACTGACTCACAGTGAGAAAGTCATTCCCCTTTCAATTCTGTTTCAGTCCTTTGCATCTTGTCATTTTGTCTTTATATGCTTAACCAACTAGTAATGTCTTTAATACCTAAAAATAACTAATTTCTTTAAACAAAAATAGAATAGGCTGCAGCTGCCAGGCAGTAACATTTAACTAAAACAGCATTGTTTTGCCTTCACTGTATTTTTCTGATCATTTAGATAGGTTTGAAGGATTTTCCACTGAAGAGATATACATACATACATATATTTATATATCATTCCATCCAAAAACAGTACACATTCCTTTCAAGTGCACATGGAATATTCTCCAGGATAGATCACATATTAGGCCACAAAACAAATCTCAATAAATTTAAAAAAATTGAAATTGTATCATGCATCTTTTCCGACACAACGGTACAAAACTAGAAATCAATCACAGAAAAAATTTGGAAAGAACACATATATGGAGGCTAAATAACATGCTACTAAACAATGAAAGGGTCAACCAAGAAATCAAACAGTACATCAAAAAATACATGAAGACAAAAGTGTTGGCAAGGATGTAGAAAAAAGGAACCCTCAAGCATTGTTGGTGGGAATGCAAACTGGTACAGCCACTGTGGAAAACAGTATGGAGGTTCCTCAAAAAGTTAAAAGAACTACCCTACGACCCAGTAAATCAACTAGTATTTGCCCAAAGAAAACAGAAACACTGATTCGAAAAGATATATGCACCCCTATGTTTACTGCAGCATTATTTACACTAGCCAAGAAACATGGAAGCAATCCAAGTGTCCGTCCCAGATGAATGGATATGTCACACACACACACTGGCATTTTACTCAGCCATAAAAAAATAATTAAATCTTGCCATTTGCAACATGAATGGATCTAGAGTGAAATAAGTCAGTTGGAGAAAGACTAATACCATACGATTTCACTCATATGTGGAATTTAAGAAACAAAAACAGACAAAAAACAGATGCTTAAATATAAAGAACAAATTGTTCATTTCCAGAGGGGAGGAAGAAGGGGGGCGGATAGGGAAAATAAGTGAAGGGTTAAGATTAAGATTACACTTATCATCATGAGCATTGAGTAATGTATAGAGTTGCTGAATCACTATATTGTACACCTGAAGCTAATATTAACACTATATGTTGACTATACTGGAATTAAAAAAAAAATGCATGGAGACCAATGAAACACAATGGTCCAAAATTGTTGGGATGCAGCAAAAACTGTTCTAAGAGGGAAGTTTATAGCAATACAGGCCTACCTCAAGAAATTAGAAAACTCTCAAGAAATAACCTAATGTTACACCTAAAGGAGATAGGAAAAGAACAAAGTCCAAAACCAGTAGAAGGAAGGAAATAATAAAGATTAGCACAGAAACAGAGGTAAGAACAAACCAAAACAAAACCCCCAAAACAAGAGAGTGCCTTACACCTAAAGGAGCTAGGAAAAGAACAAGAAATAAAACCTAAAACCAGCAGAAGGAAGGAAATAATAAAGATTAGAGCAGAAATAAATGATATAGAAACAAAAACCAACAGAACAGAGCAATGAAACCAGGAGCTGGTTCTTTGGGGGGAAAAAAAAATCAATAAAACTGCTAAACCTCTACCCAGACTTAACAAGAAAAAAAGAGAAAGGACTCAAAATCACCAATGAGAGAGGAGAAATAACAACCAACACCACACGTATACAATTATGAGAATATTATGAAAAACTATATGCCAAAAAACTGGAAAGCCTAGAAGAAACAGATAAATTCCTAGAAACATATAAATTACCCAAATAAATAAATAAAATCTTAAAAAAAAGGGGGGGTGCCTGGGTGGCTCATTTGTTAAGCATCTGCCTTCGGCTCAGGTCATGATCCCAGGGTCCTAGGATTGAGCCCCACATCGGGCTCCCTGCTCAGCAGGAAGCCTGCTTCTCCCTCTTCCACTCCCCCTGCTTGTGTTCCTGCTCTCGCTCTCTCTCTGTCAAATAAAATCTTTAAAAAAAAAAAAAAAAACATATAAATTACCAAAACTGAAACAGGAAGAAATAAAAAATTTGAACAGATTGATTACAAGCAGAGAAACTGAATCAGTAATCAACAGACTCCCAACAAACAAAAGTCCAGGACCAGTTAGCTTCACAGGCAAATTCTACCTAACATTTACAGAATAGATAATACCTGTTCTTCTCAAACTATTCCAAAAAAATAGAAAAGGAAAATTTCTAAATCCATTCGAATCCAGCATTACCCTGATATCAAAATCAGATGACACAACAACAACAAACTACAGGCCAATATTCCTGATGAACACAGATGTAAAAATCTTCAACGAAATACTAGCAAACCAAATCCAACAATACATTAATAAGTCATTCACCACAATCAAGTGGGATTTATTCCAGGGATTCAAGGATGGTTCAATATTTGCAAATGAATCAACGTGATATATCACATCAATAAAAGAAAGGATAAAAAGCCATATGATCACCTTAGTAGATGCAGAAAAAGCATCTGACAAAGTACAACATCTGTTTATGATAAAAACTCTCAACAAAGAAAACAATTAAGTAACAGTAAAAATGGTACTTGGACATGGCAAAAATGAAGGGAGTACTGGTATGATATCACCTGGTAAATATTTGTGTAAGAGGAAATTACTGGTGAGCAAAGGGGGTTAGATTTTGGACCTTTCCTTGGGATAAGCTTGGATAATAATTCTTTTCTTTGGGACCCGATCTCTTTCTTTAGCTATAAAACAGGAGGCAGGTCATGCCTTCATATGTGACAAGCAAAAATTAGCCCTACTTATGAACAGTTTGATTTCTAAAAATGTATGCATCCAAATGAATATTCTCCCTGAAAATCGACATATAATCAATCTACTTATTACCAAAAAGTTACCACTGCTTACATTGTTTTTTTGAGTTCATCTTTTGGGATTACCTTTACAATCTGGGAATACGGTCATTTTTTTTTTATTTTGGTAAAATTTATATAACATAAAATTTACCATTTTGACCATTTTTAAGTATACAGCTAAGTGGCAGTAAGTACATTCACATTGTTGTGCAACTATCAACACTACCCCACCTCCAGAACCTCTTCACCACCAAAACTGAAACTCCATACCCAATGAACACTAATTCTCCGCTTCCTATTCCCCCAGACTCTGGTGACCACCACTTTACTCTCTCTATCTACGAATTCGATTAGTCTAGGTATCTCCTAGAAGAGGAATCATAAGATATTTGTCCTTTTGTGTCTGGCTTATTTCATTTAGCATAATGTCCTCAAGTTCATCCATGCCGTGTCATGTGTGTAGACATGGTCTTTTATTTATTTATTTATTTATTAAAGATTTTTATTTATTTGTCAGAGAGAGAGCACAAGCAGGGGGAGCAGCAGAGGGAGAGGGAGAAGCAGGCTCCTCACTGAGCAAGGAGACCGATGTGGGACTCGATCCCAGGACCCTGGGATCATGACCTGAGCCGAAGGCAGACGCTTTAATGACAGAGCCAGCCAGGCGTCCGGACATGGTCTTTTAAAGTTATATTATTTTTCATTTATTGTGACTCCTAAATACAAGCTAGCACTTCATCAACTGAAAAAAGGGCAATTTTATTCAATGCCAAAGAAAACAGCTGAGTTGGGCTTATGGAGGGATGGCACGTGGGTATTCAATATGCTGTCCTCAGATTTTCTTGGCTAATTTTCTTTACCCTGGTTTTCATCTTAAGCATTCGAATGCAATCCCATGTAAGATCTAATACCAAGGTAATGCTTTATATGGATTTACATTTTGTTAATCACAACAGCATCTATCATGTCAGTTGTCTGCTGCTTTTTAAGTGATCATGAACCATTATGGATGTGTACATTTTATATTCGCAAATGAAAGTCAAGCTCCTCCAGAACAGGGAAATTTACTTTTTCTTTTATAAATCCCACAGCTTCTAGAACTCTAAACCTGGTAGGGTGTTCCTTAGATGTTACTACTGCCTGAAAGAGCAAATGACAATGCACCCTTTACTATAGCTCCTTCATTGTTATGTGACATACCCTTAAAACACACAAGACATTCCAAGTGAACTATTTCTCACATCACACGGCTCACAAAACTGAGGTTTTGTTGTTGTTTTAAATAGGAGAAAGTTCAGCCATGGCAAATGGTTTGCA